TGCTCTCTAGAGTTGAAGCCATCTACAGGGTCGAGGTCGCTGAACTTCCAGTCCATCGACTCTCGCACCACCCTCACCTTTACTCTCCTAGGGCGGGGATTTCAGCTGACAGTCGCCTATCTGGCTACACACTTGGGTCTCTACACATTGGAGGAAACGTCGGCGCCAGAATTCGAGGCCGCACCATACCTTCTCCCTGCAGACGTTGATCCTGCTGACTTTTGGGCAGAGCATTCCTCTGATCAAGACCGCTTTGAGGGCATGGGTCGAGCCAGGTTTTGGATTCAGCCGACTTGGCGAATCCTATCTTTTGTGCTTTCGACGTCCTTCTTTGGAAGGCCGTTGAACACGGATCGGGTATACCTCGATGACTTGATTGTCTTCTGGAGTTTGCACACACGCCAGGAGGTGAATGTGGCTGTCTTTGTGGCCCGGTTCCTCTACAGCCAGTCTATGGGAAATCGGATGCACATTGTGGCCCGGCTTCAACGGCTTTTTCTTTCAGACTTGTTGGGAAATAGTTAAAGAGGATGTTGTTTCAAGCTGTCAGGAATATTTCCTGGGAATCCCTCCCCCCAAGTCTATGTGCAAAACCATGATCTCTTTGATACCAAAGGTGGATAACGCAGCTTCTTGGAAAAACTTCAAACCAATCTCCTTATCTACTTTTCCTAGCAAGATTATTACAAAAATCCTTGCAAATAGACTCTCAACTCTCTTGCCAAGAATTATATCAAGGGAGCAAGGCGCTTTTCAAAAAGGAAAAGAAATAAAACATCACATTCTTCTTGCAAAAGAAATCATTAATGGTATTGACAAAGGTAAAAGAGGTGCGAACATGGTGATTAAGCTCGACATGAACAAGGCATTTGATAGAGTCTCCTGGTCCTATCTTGAGAAGATCCTCAACCTTTTTGGATTCTCAGCTTGATAAGTTCATTTTGTTCTTATTTTATTCTACATATTTTAAGCGGTATTGCACGAAAATAGTGATAAGCAGTACATAATTTTATGTTAAACTGAACAATATCTTTGATCTGTTCTTTAAGGAACAATAATTGGTTTAAAGTTTGTCCAGTCTTGATTGTTGATTTTTCTACTCATATTTGGAAGAAAAAGAAGTTTTTAATTGAGAATTTTATCATGAGAATATCGGAGGGAGCTGAAACAAATTGCAAAGCAAAGTGAAAATTGAAACTGGGCCTGAATTGGATCAAGCCGCGGCAAAGCCCACAGGAAAAGGCCCGAGGCGTCCAACCTTGGACGCTTGCAAGCTGGACGCTTCCCCTTGGACGCTTGGCGATGATTGGGCATCACGAAAGACGCGTG